CATTAGCATCTAATTTGCGTGTGTCTCAGAGAAAGAGAGATGCTGTGAATCAGACATTCAAGCAAGCCTTCCATAGCTGCTTGTGTTAACTTTAACTTGAAAGCACATCAAACAATGTAAATCCATGGGAGGTTGATGTAAATAGCAGGACTTTAAGCATATCTAAGCTCACCTCAGCCTCAATAAAAATTCAGAAACAGGTTCCCCTCTTGTTGTGAGAGAATTATTTCCAACAAAGAAGAAAATATAGCTGCTTATACATTCTATTCTAATGTTAAAGATCATAACTAGAGTGGGGGACAATCAAAGTATAAAGTGCAACAGGCGCTACCATCACTAGCCAAATCATTTCCACAAGAAGAAAAATATAGATCATCTAAGATAATAATGATTTCAAAAAACAAAAGAAGGAATGATAACAATCACAATGAAGCTGAATTGCATATAAAAACATAAACAAAAGAAATATTTCTTTTGTTTCCATTTTGGGAATTTCAATTCATACAAAAATCTACAATAATGACCTGTTTTATTCAATTATTATCCAATTGTTATTATATTCTTTCTTATTTAATTACTGAAGTACTCTTGCTATGTAGAATTAAATCATAATTTCAATTTAAAGAAATTCCCCAATCCTAACTTCCATTCCTTGCAGAGAGATTTATAGTTCCTGTCCAGTTAAGTCTAATTTAGAATCCACATCCAAAAAATTCAAGATCGGAGTAAAATGAAATTGATTCAATCATAAAAATACTTGTTCTACAAATCAAGGTTATTGCACCAAAAGAACAAATAGAATAGAAACTGAAAGAGAATCGAAGGGGCAATAAAAGTCTACTGCTGCTCAAAGAAACATTACTCCTATGTCACCAGAAGGCTAGATGCAGAAGAGACACAAGTTCATACCGCAACGGGTGGTACATTTACAGCAGAAACATTGCCCAAGGTAATGTTGGAAACAGTTCCCTCATAGTTAGGAGATCTCTGTCCCTCATAGTTAGAAGATCTTCCTCTTCTCTCCCAATTTATGGCAACCGAACGCATCCTTCCTATATGTTTTTAGCAGTAAAAACATTTAGTCTTTCTGGAACCTGTATGAGATTACAAGGTAAACAAATATAAGTTATACCTCCTTTCTGACCTTCAGTTGGACCAGCATCTCTATTTGCTTTATATCTTTGCATAGGATCTGAAATGAAGATTTCAGAGGTTCAGTTCACTACCTAAGCAGCATAAATATAAAAAGCTATACTAATAATGAAAGCAGAGAAAAAAAGAAATTTACACCAATTCAAAGGCCAGAAAACTGCAAGAAAAAAGGAAATTCACACTAACTCAAAGGCCAGCGATATGCAACCGTACTAAAATATGAAGCGAAAAAAAGACATCTAACTATTTTCTTTTACAAATATATATATATATATAGACAAGGAAACATGGGTGTACGACCATGTACAAAAACATGAAGTATTACAAGTTGATCAAGTATCTATGAGGTCCCCCAAGTCTTAATAGAAGTTAGAGAACAATCCTGAACAATCAAAGGGTTTGGAACCACAGATATGTAACTGTATGAAAAGGACAACAAACATTATCAAAGTCTTCTATTTCTCTACTTCCAAATAATCCAAGGGAAAATGAGATCAAGAGTTTCCTTTTTATTCTTATTCAACTCAAATATCTTACCAGGAACAAAGTTCATCCACAATAAATCCAGATGCCACAAAGTGCAGCTTAACGGAACATAAAGCAAAACATCAAAACCAGTGAGAGAAAACATATTGCAGCAAGAGATGATCAGGACTTCAGCCAGCCTACCCAAAGGATAGCACCCAGAATTTCCCATTTCTTAAATTGTCAATATTGGGAGTTATTCCTCGTGCACTTCCCCCGCAAAAAAAGAAATTATGAGGGACACATTTTTTATATTTGCTTCCACTACACACTTCAAACATTAGCAGAATGAGATAAGTGGAGGAAAAAGACTTGAGCCAAATGGTCTAATTCTAGATCCACTCATCCTCCTCACAGAGGCGTGCGTATGAAGATGTAAGGCATTGAAGGAAGCAAACAAAATTCGTGCTCCTCCCAATCATTTAGGTTGTGAGCCAGCATTGCATCCCATGCGAACAGGATATCAACAACTAAGATGCAACAAGTAACCAAAGATTCTTTCCTCCTTAGCAATGAGAACAAATCAAAGAGCCAAATGCATACAAAAAAAGCATCGTGCCCCTCATTGCTCAAAAAATAACTTGCTAACCAGAGGGCACATTGAGATGGAAACAACGACTAAAATGCTTCCATCTTGCATCAATCCACCTCCAAAAGCCCATGCCACGAGGACCCCTTTGCGGACTTGTAATTAGTACTACTCAATGGAGGAATAAACTGGAGACATACCTTTTTTTTGCATCAATATAACCCGAACATTGTCTACTTTTATCTCAGATCATCCAAAACAAAGTCATTATATTCAGACTTACATTAAAGTTTTAATTGAGAAAAGAAACAATCTTGGGCAGGATATGCCCAACAAGTCACAACCAAACCCCTCTATCTGACTTTATTCAGGGGGAAAAAAGTCATACCATCATATTCCATGTACTAAGCAAAGGGAAAGTCTTTTAACTTGTATATGTCAAGGTATTATTTATTTTCATATCGAATCAAAATCACATCACCTTCAACCCACTTTACTGATATCTTCTTTGATAAAACAAGAATTTTATTAAAAGGGATAAGGACCCCACCTCCCCCCCAGCCCTGACACAACTGTAAGTTTTTTCCCCAAAGAAAAGTGGAGATCATCCCTTCCGAAACCATGTTAGGCGGTTAGAATCAATGCCTAAATTTTAGCATTTTGTTCGCAACCCAATTATCCACAAACCAACTAAAATAGTCCTTCTCCATAACAAATTATAACCTCGGCAACAACTTGCCACCAATCACAATAACAAATTATAGCATTTTGTTAGCTTTCCCCACCATTGACCAACAGCTTCAGTGGTTCACAACTCTTGTTGAACGTTCCCCTTCATTCTCCAAAAGAAAAGATCTAGGACTGCAACAATTCTTTTTTGGGATAACTAATCTTCACTTTCCTCAAGCAAGCATAGGGTTCAACAACAATAAACTTTTTGGGACAATTCACCCTCAACCTTCACTTCCCTAAATAAACAAGTTGTAAGGGTCCGGCAACTTAAAAACTTTTTTGTTATTTTTTATAACTAGCCACAAACATTAATACATGGTAGAACCAAATCTATAGCAATGTAAGCATTGTTTTATTAGTAATCTCCAATTATTGGACTTCACCTCCATAGCTTCAATAAAGTATTTGAGAATCTTCTCAAATGAAGCGTTATTATCATAGATGTGCCACTAAACAAGAAAGACCGCCTCTAACCAACTAAGAACACGCCAAAGATGAGAGCAAGTGCATGTGAGCTTCATGCACTGGTGACTGGTGGTGTGCATATTGGAGGGGAACTGAATCTGCGGCAGAGAAATGCGAGACACCGCCAACTCATGACCTGTGGTGGACACACCGGAAGCAAGCTCCGACAGCTGCAGACAAAATTCCTCTCTTCTAGGCTTTTGGAAGGAATTGTTTGCTTCTTACAAGAGTCGAATGGTAAAAGAAAGCAGAAAGGCTGACTGTGAGAGATGATGAAACTAAAATTTGTGATTTTTTTAAAACTTAAAGGAAACAATTCAAGTGAAACAAAATGATCTGATCACAAAACAGAGAAGAAAAGTTGTAGTTTTGTTTTTCAATGAAGAAAACAGTAAAGAGAAACTGGACAATGTGTTTTTAGCTTTCTCTTCTTCATTGTAGACGACTAGGAATGACTAAGAAGAGTGTTGAGGAATAGACCAATAAGATTTACTAATCTCTAGTACCTACTGCTCTAATATCCTATCAGAAGAATAATTTATTTTAATTAACGTACCAAAAGAATAAATTGGAATATCCTTGTTATTATTTTGAAGAAATAGTACATAAAAGAACCAATGTAAATAGGATATTGACTATAATAGAACCTAGTTATACAGAACATTAACTAGATAGGAAAAGACCATATGGGGGATATCCTATAATTCTTCAATGGACTACATAATTGCTATTGTCTAACAATTACTAAGGAATTGAGATGCAGCTTTGTGTTAACTCTTTATTGTTTGCTTGTTTTTTTTTTCGATTTCTTCTTTTAGATGACTTCAGAGAATTTCTTACTCTCTAAATTTATGTCTTCCTCTTCTCTTTAAGAGTACCCTTTTTCATCAAAAAATATTTTCACAACTGACTGATCGTAGAAGAATAAGAAGGAAAATGGGACATACAAAAGAAAGCATAGCATATACTAAAAATTTGAGTACATACAACTTTCATCTTGGTTGCTCGTGGGTAATTCTGACATTGAATTTGCCTGACTATTGCCAGGACCAATACACTTATCATCCTTCATGTTCCTTTCAGCAGCAGACATTCCTTGAATTGAACCTTTAACAGCAGGAAAATTA